TCCATCAGCTTCATGCCACACCCACAGCCCTCACCTGGACAAGAAAAACCACCGGACGCATTACAAGTTCAGTCGCAGTTCGCACACGTTCTGAAGATGCAGACGTCAAGACCCTTTGATGGAAAGGACTTCTTCACCTGGTCGTTTGAGTTCGAGCTGATGATGGAAGGCGCGCAGATACTCGGGTTCTTCGACGGGTCTCTGCCATACCCAACAAACGGCACACAGTACGAGAAGCAGCAATACACCTATCAGTCAATGATGGCGTACACGATCCTACTGAGGAATATCACCCCGACTCAACAGCAGAACATAAGGTCTTACCGAGGTTACGGCAACTCCGCGGAGCTCGCGTACAACCACCTGAAGAGCCTGTATCAAGCAACAGACAGCGTAAGCCAAAGTCGGTTAATGGCGCAACTGACAACGGTTGAAATGAAACCAGGGGAGAAAGGAATGGCGTATATCAGCCGATGTCGCGAGTTGCGCGACAAGCTCCTTCGATGCGGAGGATCGATCTCTGAAGACGCCTTCGTGACAGTCATCATCGGCGGCCTCGGTCCTCAATGGCGCGCCACAAAGGCCATTCTCCGAGCTCACGGAAGAATCTCCGAAGCAGCGCTCTGCGCCGAAATCCACGCCGAGCAGCAAGACATGGACCTGCAAGAAGAACGACACAAAAAGAAAACATCAGCACCGGAATTCGCGTTCCACACTCAGCGACGCTACAACAACAACAACAACCGGCAGCAACAACCGAAGCCAGTACCTCCGTTCTGCCACATCTGCAAAACTTCAGGACACCCGCGCACGCACTGCCCGAATCGTCAACAGTCAACAACTCCACAGCGGCAACTTCGACCTTCAAGCAGCCAAATCGCCTCAACGCAAGCAAATCCCACGACTCAGATTCAAGCTTCAACGACCTCAACAGGACAACCTGCACAAGGAGCAAGAAACATCATCAACTGCATGGCAAAGCTGAGTGACTCCTGCATCACCTAGTCACCGCCACACTACTCACCGGAAGAGCAACTCGACGAAACCACACCCCGCCGCGAGTCACTTCAGCCGAACCCGACATACGCCGCCATCGCCCAAAGCGAACCATCCGGAAGGGACACATGGTTCTTGGACAGTTGCTGCGGGCAGCACATGTGCTCCTCGGGACGCTTCGTTCAACGAGAACACCAACTTCAACGCGAAGTTGTCATTACAGTCGCCAACAATCAGAACCTGCGAACACGACGACAAGGTGTAGTTCAACTTCAGTCAAGGGAAACAAACGTTGTACTGCAGATGTCAAAAGTACTAATCGCGGAGGGACTCGGCTACAACTTACTGAGCGTCAGTCAGCTAATGGCGAAGGGGATTCACCTCGAAGCAGACAGCACCACCCAAGAATTCAAGCTGTATCACGGGAGAGGAGGACTCTACATCGGCAAGGCGGTCCTCAAGAACAACGTCTTCGTTCTTGACTTCGTTCCTGACCTTGGCACCGCCGACAGCGACGCCATCGTTAACTTCACCGACTGGACACACCCTCCAGACCTTGATCCAGACTTCAGTCCAGAAGGCTTCTGGTATTCACACACCATCCCTGAAGCAGAAAGAACAAGGGCGTTAGCAACAATTGAGACAACATCAGCAGCAGCAGAGACAACATCGGCAGCAGCAGAGACAACGTCGGCAGCAGCAGAGACAACATCGGCAGCAGCAGAGACAACATCGGCAGTAGCAGAACCATCAACGGCAGCAGCAGGAACGTCAACACCAATTGCTGGTCCTTCAACGACACCGCTCCTCATCGACGACGCACCATCGACAAATTTAAGGCACGCTGGGTCGTACGCGGCTTCGACCAAGAGCACGGACGCGATTTCACCGAAACATTCGCTCCGGTCAGCCGACACACCTCGCTACGCATCCTTCTCGCGATCGCCGCCATGAAGAAGAAGAAGCTGCGGCAAATCGACGTCGCTAACGCATTCCTCTACGCACCTGTTGACGCAGAGATCTTCGTCGAGCTACCACACGGCTCCAGCACGGACTCGAACCACGTCTGTCAACTACTCAAGTCGCTCTACGGCATCAAGCAAGCTCCGCGACTATGGCAACAATACCTACACGCTCGCCTCATTCGCATCGGCTTCAAGCAATTGCCGTACGACCAGGGCATGTACCGGCTCACGAAGGGTACCGACTACATCCTGCTAATCGTCTATGTAGACGATCTGCTCTACATCGGCTCAACTGACGGCATTACAACATGGTTCGAAGGGGAGCTACAGCAAGACCTCACACTCACGGTCTCATCTACCGTCACACAGTACCTCGGCCTCAACATCCGGGAAGAGGAAGACGCTATCTACCTCAGCGCCGCGAAATACGCCGACACCATCGCCAAGCGTTTCGCACTCACACCGACTGTCATCTCCACACCGTACCGCTACACGACAGCAAACAACAAGGAAGGCTCCGCTCTACTCAAGCCCGCCGGCATACGCGACTACCAGAGAAAGCTGGGCTGCCTTCTCTTCGCAGCTGTCACCTGCCGCCCAGATCTATCCTACTCTGCAAGCCAGCTCGCCACCCACCTCAAGAAGCCTGAAGCGGAACATCTGGCGGAGCTCGACCGCGCTCTTCACTACCTTGTCAGTACCCCGACGGTCGGCCTGACTTACCATAAGAACGCAACTACAACGCCTAAGCTAATCGGTTACGTCGACGCAGATCACGCGGGCGACTCAGACAATAGGCGCTCCCGCACCGGCTACATCTACCGCCTCGAACCTATCGGACCTATCTCCTGGCAATCGAGCAAGCAGGAACTAATTGCTCTCTCGTCAGCTGAAGCAGAATATATTGCACTCTGCTCAGCCACCAAGGAAGGACTCTATCTTCGCGAGCTGCTGGAAGAAGCGAAGTTAGCCGAGTTACCCAACTTTACCCTGTTCTGCGACAACCAATCGGCAATTCGCATCGCCAACAAGAACGGCTTCGCGAACAGGACGAAACACATCGCCCTGCGATATTTCTTCGTGAAGGACGAGATCGAGAAGGGAAGGCTCGAGCTGTCATACTGCCCCACGTCCGAGATGGCAGCTGACTACCTGACCAAGAAGCTCGGAAAGCAGAAGTTCGAATACTGCATGCTGCTGACTGGACAGAGCCACGTCAGCGACACTCCAGAAGCGAAGGGGAGTGTTGGAAACAATCGGTCCTAAGCGCTTCTGTCGTGTCGAAACACTAAGGCACAAGCGAAGCAAAGCATATCGAGGCACCAGCGAGTCAACCCTCGGAGGTTGAAGTAACCGCTGGAGGTTACGCGAAAGTCAAAGGTCAGCGACCTTTGACCTGACAAGTACAGCGCGACAGCAAGGACACACAACTGACTCGCTACAGAGCAGTTGCCCGAGTCGTCACTGTATCGAACCGCAACAGCGACAAGTAAAACAGTTATAACCGTATCCTTTCATATTCCTTGTACTCTTATATAATCTTGTATCTCTTTGTTTTAATCAACTTACTTTGCCCTCACGTACTAGCGCAAGGTGGTTCACAACTCTTTAATTAACGCTTCCGCTACTACACCAACTCTACCCAGAGTTCACCCCTGCAAAGATCCTAAGGGCCTTTTCAGCCCAACACACAAGACGCTTACTCTGTACTGACTGGGTCCATAAGAACACTACTCTGTGAGTGTTTACAAAATTTCAGGGTTCCCTAAAGTACTAATCTGACAGGATCAGTGTTCAGAAGTCATTAAAACTGAAATTGCAGGGACCAGAATGTGAAAAGTCTGAAATCACCCTGAAATCAGGATACCGTAATTACCCTGATAAAATCAGCCCTAGCCTCTGGCATCTCCATCAGCATCCACTCCCTCTCCATCAGCATTCCCTGGCGCATATTAGGGTTTCCCACCGTTTCTAGCTACTCTTAGCAGTTCCTCGCCACTCCTCGCTTGACGCAGATTTTCTTGTCATTTTCAGCCAGGCGTTCCCTCTCCTGTGGTGAGTGTACCAAATAGTTAAGTATGTGCCATTGGATCATTGGGCCAACTTAGTGAATCTTTCCTCAATCTTATCCGCATGTGTGTTGAGGTAAATTTTCATAAAGATACAAGGGTGTTTGGAGAGCGAAACGTTTTCTTTCGATTAATTCCATATTTTTTTTTTACCTTACATAAGGTAAGGAAGAATTAAAAAAAAAATATAATATAGTGTAGCATACAGATTGAAAACGGTATGTAGCAACCAATATGTTCTCGCTGTTGCGAACAGGAAGTGATCGTAACCAGGATCTCCTCAGGAAGGTTCGCACACTTCTAGTCTAACGGTGGTGGGCCCTTGACCTCGATAGCAGAGTGAATGTAAATGCTTGAGATGATAAAAACATGCGGTACAAGGAATATAAATATGAGTACAGGGGAATTCGAAACGACCTAACTAGCCATGTACTCTAAGAGGTACATTCCCTTATTGCAGCGAAATCCAACCGTGCGACTCCGAGTGGTTACGTAACTGTTCGGGCAGAATCCTCGCCACTGCTGCTGCCTGATGCTGTCTGCCCGACGGTCCAGATGCTCCTCGTAACCGTCTGTCCCTTCGCGTTTCTTCTGCCTTTTCGTCTTCACTCTCGATAGTGCGTGCTTCGGCTTGCTACGGTGTGGAGTGTGCAATAGTGTTTTTCATTAACCACTATTCGTAACACTCGCTATAGCACAACCTAATTGAGTTAACATGAACACATGCAAATACGGTATGTGTATCTCAATCCGGTTAACTGTCCCCATTTGTGGTTAGATACATATTCAGATACCGTAGAATGCTTGTATGGAGGGTGAAACACTATCTTTGAATGAATATCGTGTGTAAGGTTTTACCTTGTACAACGTAAGAAATAATAAAATAATCAACCTAGAGGCAATCTAATCTAGCATTAAGGTTCAGCCCACTGTACATTACAACTTGAGCGTCATCTAATTGAATCAGTTCTTACGGAAGCTGCTGCACGGGCATCGCTTCCCTGGCGCGGCCATACGCGGTGTATGCGCAGTCCACCGCGAGCACGTCGCTCGCCTCGTACGACCGCGGCGTGCCATCCAGGAAACCCTTGCCCTCCGCGCCATCGGCGGAGATCGGACGGTGCAGGCTTGCGATCAGGCGCTGGAAATCCTCGGCGCGCTGCGAGTGATCCGCGCGGTACGTTTGTCCGAGCACGCCGTGAATCTCGTCCGTGTGCTCGAGCTCCGCAATGCCCACGTTGATATGCGCCTCGGCCTCGGTCGGCGTCTGCAGCTTGGGGTGCGCGACGCGAAGGCGGAGGTCGAGGGAGACGAGTCCGTCGATGGTGAGCAGATAGTAGTCCACGTCGAATGGTCCCTCCTCCTCCGCGCGGAACTGGACCGTCAGCCCGCCCGCGCTCGTCACCGTGTCGCCCACCTGCATGCGCGGAATCTCCTCGCCGTCGATCTCGATCGACTTCATGAACCCCTCTCCGCGCTCCTGCTGCTTGCCGCTGCGCGCCGCAAGGCGGATTTTGTGGTCCGCGCCGGCCGCGGTCCACACGATGCCGAGCTCCTTGATCCACGTGTGCACGGCCTTGCCGTCCACCACGAGCGCCGCGTTGTCGGTGCGCGCGTCGTAGTACCCGCGCAGCAGCATGTTCACGTGCAGGTCGCGGTCCGTCAGCAGGCAGAACGCCTTGTCGGGGCGGCCGTTGAAGTCGAAGTGCGTGCCGTGCGCGCCCACCAGATGCGGGTCGTTGAGAATCTTGGCGCTAGGATTGCACTCGCCGCCGATGCGCACCTGCAGCGGCACGGGCTTCGTCTCCGTGTTGTACTGCGCGGTCATCTCGCCGCACGTGAAGTCGATCTGGTCGTGGATCAGGTAGCACGCGCCCTTGCCCTTCTTGCCGTCGATCGTGATATCGGGAATGTACTGCCAGTACGTGCACGCCGGCGTCGCGGCGCACGTGTTGCAGCACGACGCGGGGTTCGCCTTGAGCAGCGTGAGCGGGTTACCCGGCACGTACAGCTCGTAACCGAGCTTGTTCTTCTGCAGGTAAGCGGTCTTCCACTTGGCGGCGATGCCGCCCTTGGAGCAGTTCTTAGGCGTGCACGCGCCCGCGAGCTCCTTGTTCAAACCGGGCGGGCACTTCTGCGCGTTCCACCCGGCCTTCTTCACGTCCGCCATGAAGAACGTGTCCTGCGCCGTGTCTACGTACGTCACTCCCGCCGCGTTGCCCGACGCTGCTTGCTTCGCGATGTCCGCGGGGATTTCCGTCATCAGCCCGTCGTCCTTCTTGCTGCTCAGGTCGGGCTTCTCGTTCGCGGTGCTGCTTGTGATGGGACTGCCGGCGCGCGCGGCGACCACCAGCAGCGCCAGCGAGAGCGCCAGAAGCGCGTGTCTAACCATCCTGACAAACTATGGCTCTTGAGAAATGTCGAGATTCGAGTGCTGTATCGAGATGCGAGTATTGTATTGCTAATCGGGCTGGATGAATAGCTCCTTGGTGAGCTGATGTGGAAGGCACGACATTTGTATGGTGATAAGGAATCGCTTTGATCATGGCTTTCTCGGCAAGAGGGAACCGCAGGTTCAAACCGCAGGGGATGAGGAATAACTGTACCCATGTACCGACCCGACACAAGCTGAACGGCCACCTGCGGACCACGCACTGTCCAGGTTCTTTTGCTGTGGTCGTTTCTCCTGAAAACACGTGTGACGACACACAAGATATGTTGGCTGGTTGTCGGCCGCAAGGACAGAAGTTGTACTCGCGAAAAGAACTTTGAGGGTTCGGCGGAGAAAAAGAACCGAGGGAGTGGCCGCGATGTAACTCAGTTACTTATGCGAAGACCTTCAGATAGTTGTCTCGTTGGGGCTCTGGGGTAAATCCGCTGAGTAACGGAGTTGATGTCATACGTTGAACTGCGGCAGAAGACATCTGAAAGCTCAACTTTACAAACCATGCTGTTAATTCAACCGTGTAATAAATTGCATGTGGATGTGTTGCAACAAGCTTATATTAGCCATCACACAACAGCTGCACAGAACGAATCAGCTACCAACACCAGTTCCTTTCAGTCCACCTCAAACAACTCCCAAGCGAACATTCAGCACGACAAGACAACTCAATCCCCACCACTGTGAGCGAGAGGTGTGAGCAGCACTGGCATGCCAAACTTGGTCTTGAGAGTGAGAACCTGCTCTGGGCAATGCCGGTAAGACGGAGCCACTCGCCATGAGAATCGCAGCACCAGCAGCGACAGGATCACCTTCGCCTCCAGCACCGCAAAGTTCTGCCCAATGCACACACGGGGGCCGACACTAAAGGGGATAAACGCGAGCGGATGCATCGCCGCCTTGTTAATCCCATTCGCGAACCGCTCCGGTTTAAATTCCTCCGCGTCTTCCCCCCACAGCTCCTTCCTCCTGTGCATCGCCGCAATTGGCACCGTCACTCCCACACCAGCGGGAATGGTAAGCGTTTCGCTTAGCTTAGTGCGGGTGTCGCAGCGGCGAGCAATCGCCGGAGCGGGAGGGTAGAGCCTAAGCACCTCATTCAGAACCATGCCCATGATTTTCAGCTCTGCTGCTTTCTCCATTGTCAACCCCGCCCCGTCTGCCCCCAGGACCTGCTGCGCCTCCTCACGCACGCGCTGCTGCCACGTGTCGTGCTGCGATAGGAGCATCACAGTCCAGGTGAGGAGGTTGGAGGTAGTTTCGTGGCCAGCCAGCAAGAAGGTGAGACACTCGTCCATCAACTGCTGATCTGACATCGCAGGTGCGGTTGCTGCTGCTGCCTTCAACGCTCCTCCTGCGCCTCCTGCTCCTGCGTCTCCTGCTGCTACTCCATTTGTTGCTGCTGCCGTTCCTCCTCCTGCTGCTGCTCCTCCTGCTGCAGCAGCACCGGGTTCCTCATCCGTGGCCATGAGCATCAGCTCCAGCAAGTCAATAGCTCCCTCCTCCCCTGCACCACCACCACCACCACCACTCCCCTTTGCACCTCCCGTACCATCACCATTCTCTGACCCAGCAGCAGGAGCAGCGGCGGCGACGGCGGCGGTGTGGTGGTGGCGGCGGTGGCGGCGGGCGGCAATCATGCGCATCATGATGCTGCGGATGAGCTGCTCCTGCCTGTTGCGGTGCCGGTGCAGCGCCGTGGGGAGCAACCTGGGAGGGAGGATCACGCACGAGAGGAGGGGTGCAAGTAAAGGGAGGGGGACTTTTGCGGCAACTCAAAGGGCTGCTCCTGCCTGTCAGCGCCGTGGGGAGCAACCTGCGAGGATCACGTGGGAAAGGGGCAGGCACGGGGTGAGAAGATAAGGAAGAGGCTTGCTTAAGGATGGGATGCGGTGGCTGTCCGGTCTCTAAAGGTGGCGAGGGCAGGAAGGAAGCACATTGGGAATGGTGGGTGGGTGATGGGCGATGGGTGAGAGGAGCCGGAGTGTGCAGGAAATTGGCAACACATGTGGTTGAGAAGGCATTGTGTTTCTGATTTAGCGAGTCAAACATTCTGACTGACGAGTTTGGAGGCACTCACAGGAATCCAGGAACCATGGCAAGCGGGCTACGAACACTCGCCACTGCCGCCTCTAGATACGCCCGAAACGCCCCCACCAGCACCTCTGCATCGCTCTTCCCTTCCTTGCCTTCCTTCCCTCCTCCCTCCGCTCCCGCTCCTCCCTTCTTCCCCTCTCCCCTTTCCTCATTCTCCCCGTCCGGCCCTCCCAGCCTAGCACCAAAGGCTGCACGGCCAATGACGTCAAGAGTCAGCGTCTCAAGCATGGTGTCAATCCGAACCTCCTTGTCAGGCTCGGCCCGGACCTGCTTCTCCCAGAGCGACAGGGCAGCTTGGGTGCACTCGAGCATGGTTGGGAACATACGCTGGTTATGGGGTGGGGGAAGGGTTGGAGATGCGGGGAAGGGGGGAAGCAGGAGGAAGAGCAGAGGGCAGAGAAGGGGACGAGGGAAGAGGTGAAGGGGTTTAATTGACCTCCATCAGCCAGATTGAACACAGTAAGATCAACCCCTTACAATGGAAGGACTGGGAGAACAACATCACCAGCGTCAGGGGAAGGGGCAGGGGCAGGGAAAGGGGCAGCGGCAGGGGCAGCGGGGTGCTTAAACGCGGGGTTAATTCCCCTCCCTGCTCTGCACCGCCCATAACGGCCCCGACGCGGTAACCAGCCTGTTGCCCAGCAAAGGCCTTGGGGGAGCAGCGGCAGAGGCAGAGGCAGAGGCAGAGGCAGAGGCAGAGGCAGAGGCAGAAGGATGAACCCGTGCTCTCACCTTAAGCTCACTGTTCTTAAACGCGGGGTTGATTCATCGTCCTCCTCTGCGTGGCCCAGAACGACCCCGATGCGGCGACCAGCCCGTTGCCAAACAAACGCAAGGCGTTGGGGGAGCAGCGGCAGCAAGGGCAGGCAGAGACAGGAGGAGCAGGAACCCGGGTCACACACACACAGCACATGCTCTCACCTTGAGCTCGCTGTGCTTGAACGCGGGGTTGATTCTCCTCCTCTGCGTGGCCCAGAACGGCCCCGATGCGGTAACCAGCCCGTTGCCAAAGAGCGGGAAGGCGGCGCGGATGAGCGTGGTCTTGGGGAAGGCGTCGTTGTGCGTGATGTAGGCCGCTCGCACGAGCGTGGGGTCTGCTAGGAGGACTCGGGACATAGGGCCAAAGCAGTAGCGCACCACTGGGCCGTAGCTGCGGGGAGGGGGAGGGGAGTGAGGGGGGGGGATTGAGGAGAAGTGAGGGAAGGGATGACAGAGAGTGGGGAAACGATGGGGAGGACAGGGTGAGTGGTGGGATGGGGCGGACAGGGTGAGTGGTGGGATGGGGCCGAAGCAGTAGCGCACCAGTGGACCATAACTGGGAAGGTGGCGGGAGGGGGAGGGCGGATTGAAGAGGACGGAAGAGTAGCGGGAGATGGGGAAGGGAAGAGGAGGGGATTGGGAAGACGGGAGAAGAGCGGGGAAGAGTTGGAAGAATGGGGGATAGGATGGACGAGGGATGAGGTGAGATGGTACGGTACGGTACGGAGAGGATGAAGGTTGGAAAGGAGGGCGTGAGCAGAGCTCATGGCATGGCACGGGGAAAACGCAGTAGCGTATCACTCGATCTCCCGCCCACCCCCTTCCCCCTCCCTCCCCAACCCCTCACCCCTCTTTGACCGACCCTCCTTTCTCCCCCCCACTCCCCACGTGGCGACCAGGGAATCCGGCACATGCGCCCCCACAACTCCTACTTTTGAGTCGACTCGACTTTTGAATCGACGCAACTTTTGAATCGACGCGACTTTTGAATCGACTCAAAAGGCGACCAGGGAATCCAGCACATGCGCCCCCACAACTCCTCACCCCTCTTTGACCCACTCTCCTTTCTCCCCACCTGGCGGTGCTGCTCGCTGCAATGACGTCTTTGAGTTCTAAGACGTCTCAAATTCTTCCACCCCCACCCCACCCACTTCTTCCCTCCCTCTTCCCTCCTCTCCTCCCCCTCCCGTCGTCTCCTCCTCCTTTCTTGTCGCCCTTCCCTGTCCTCGGACCTCCAGCGCACCCACCTGGCAACCAGGGTATCCAGCACGTGCTTCGGGCAGCAAACGCAATTCTAAACACGTCTCAATCCTCCCCCCTTCCAACCCCTCCCCTTCCCTGCCCGCGCGCCACCAGCGCACCCACCTGGCGACCAGGGTATCCAGCACGTGAGTGGCTGTGCTGCGCGCTGCAAACTCAGGGTCCGCCTGACGCCTCTTGCGGAACTGCGGGCGCGGCGCCGACCGGGGGGAGCGAGGAGGTGGGGGGAAAGGGGGGATGAAGTGGGGGGCGGCGGAATGGAGGGGGCGATTGGAGGCCGTGCTACTGATAGCACGCACTTTTGAGAAGTCTCTAAGGCGTGTTACGCCTGTGTGCGTGCGTGCACAGCACATCCGCATTAGACGAGCCGCGAGAGGGCCAGAAGGTCGACCTGTGTGTTCCACATTATAGGGTCGCGCGTCACACCTGTACGGGCACCCATGCAGACACAAACACACACGCAGACGCAGACGCAGACGCACACGTACACGTACACGCACACGCAGACGCACACGCACACGCACACGCAGGCTTGACCACATCCCGAGCGAGTCGCACCTGAAGCGAGTCGCACCTGAAGCGAGTCGCACCTGAACCGGGTCGCACCTGGATCATGTCAGCCAGGATGCCGTAGAAGAACCGGAAGGGCGGTCCGGGCACGCCTTGCGCTGCGAGGTCCGCCATGGCGCGGCGCGGTGCGCCCCAGAAGAACTCGAAAGCGGCGGCGAGCAGCGCGGTGAGCAGCAGCGCGAGCAGCGCGACCAGGAGGCTCGCGGGGGACGGCATGGCGGAGAGCGGCGGCGCGGACTCCATGGCGCAAGAAACGGCAAAAAAAAAACGGTTGGGGGAGGTTAAGGGAATGAGGCCAAGGGATGAGGCCGGGAACACGGCGTCGCGATCGGTTCGGAGCGACGATAGGCTAGCGAGTCGCGAAAATGACTCCTCTTGGGTACTCAAACAAAAAGTCCGGACATCATGTCGCGTTTATGGGATAAATGGCGCACGGGAAGACAGGCAGCGCGCAGTAGCACAGGCCGTACCCCAGTCGAGTCGGGACTCGGGATCGGGGGGTGTGAGTGAAGCGTGTTGGGCAAGCTAGGCGAGGGCGAGGGTGAGAGCGCGACAGCGAGGGCAAGGGCGAGGGCGAGAGTGGGAGGGCAAAGGCGAGAGCGCGAGTTCTGAATTCCGAAATTCCAAGAATGCACCACACCCGAAAGAGAGCAGTGTTGCTGGGGCAGCCCAAAAGTGACGTCAGTGGGAGCTTGGCATGAGTTTCGGACAGACTGCGCGCGCGTGAGAGGTGAACACGTCAGGAAATGTTTCTGGGCTGTGTGATTGAAACGCACAGCATCGTACTCAACCATTCTTGTTAGATGCACCGAACGAAGCACCCTTGTCGACGTGCACAGCTCGACGATGTGAGTTGATACACTTCACGGATCCGATTTCAGGTGACGCGTTATGGTAGGGTGTTGATACCAATGGACATTTTGATGACTTGCTGCTGTTTGTCCAATAACTCCACAAAGGGAAAACATGTGAGCTATAGTGTATACCGGTATTACAAGCACACTATTATACATGTTCATCCTAAACTCCAATTTTTTCCAGCGCTCTCATGCAGACTAAACACTAAGCATTGCACACGCTACTCTAGTCCAGAGCCAAATGTCATTTCATCACAGGAACACAGGTGTGCTAACCTGCAATCACAGCACCTGCATTCACCATTTCCCTACAGCAGGACAAAAGAAAAATATAGCAAGCAGCAGCTTTACCCTGCGATACACAGAAAACAAATACACTCCACTCCACTCCTACCTGTCCTACCACATGCGCTCCCTTCCCTATCCCACCGCGAGCTCCTATCCCTGTGGTTTCCTTCAGGGCGCTCCAAACTTGCGGCCCTGTGCGGTGGCCTCTGCAGCTTTCGCACTGGCCAGCTCTGCACCCATGGGCGGCACCACCCCCGCCTGCACATTCTTGTCCGCTGCTGACTGCATCGCCGCTGCTGTGCCGCCCTTCACAGGCTGCCATGAGGGGAGGACGGGCGGGAAGGTGGGGTGAGAGGGCGAAAGGCGAACGTAGAGGGTCGACAGTACGGGCTTCCGAAAGGGGACCGTAATGGTGATGTAGGCAGAGAGCGTACTGAGACAGGAGCAGCTTTGAGGGCAAGGAGCCAACGAACGAACGAGCTCACATCGTTGTTATTGCGTCAATCCTCAACCTTTTTTCATCAATGAGAAACGCCACGGTCCAGGAGTATTCAGCCACGCCAAGACTCCAGGACCGTCATCCCGAAATACTAGCATGATCAAATCCCCGCCAAAGCAATTTTCCAAACGCAGGCGTCCCACAGGCATCCCGTTCCCCCGACCCGATCCAGCCCCACCCCATCCATCCCGACCCCTTCCCAACCCTAGCATACCCCTCCGAACTGCGCGGATTCCTCCCTCTGCTTCGCAGCGGCGTCCATCTTCGTGACGGGCATGTCCAGTGCGCCTCCCTCGACCTCGCCCTCAGGCAGCACGTCGCGCATCCGAATCGGCACCTCAGGCGCCGCCACGCCGCCGCCCATGCTCCCCGCCGCCGTCGTCGGCATGTCGTCGCCCTGCTTCGTTGTCTCGCGACTCGCGGCGCCCTCTTCCCCCTTGGACACCTCCGCGCGTTTCTCTGTCGCGGACGGTTTCTCTTCCCCCATCGAGGCGCCCTCCACGCTCGACGCGCCCGGCGCGCCGCCTTTCTCTCCGCCGCCGCCGCCCGGCGCGGTGACGGGGGTGACAGCCGAGCCGCCACCTGCGGCGGCTATGGCCTCTTTGACCTCTCCCGGCTGGCTCTCGAACTCGTGCTTCCGGGTCTCCTCGTGCTCTGCTAGCATCTCACTTGTGAAAGGCTCGCGCTCCTGCGCGCGCTCGCGCTGCTGCTGTGCCATGTCGAGAACGGTAGTGGGTCGGAGGGGGTGATGAGAAAAAATGTCACTCCAAACGCGCGACGGGGATACGGAGCTATGGGATTGCGAGACTGCAGGGAGAGTGAAAGAGGAGAGGAGAGACACGGCAGCAATGACTGAAGAATTAATATCTAGGGCGTTTGGCGCAGGTGTGGAGAGGAACGAGCAGCATTTATGAGTGTGTGCGCGCTTCCGTGACGGCAGTGCAGTCGTCGCAGCGAGCCGCGTCGTGATGATGATGGCTTCGCGTCCGAGTCCAAGCAAGAGCGGGAGAAGAGAGGCAGTGCGCGCGGTGCGTGGGATAGCGGTGGTGATGCGACACGGCAACCCAGCTCTCAAAATAATAATAAAATGATGCGCATGCGGAGATTGAGACCCAGACCGCTGGAGCCATTAGGCGGCGACTCGCAGTTTCGCGAGCATGACAAAAGTTACGAGCGCGCATGGCGGGCGTGGCGCGCATGGCACGCATGCTGGAAATATCGAGGAGAAACCTGTTCCACGTGCAAACCACCTTACGAGGTTTCACTGTGCGGCATTGCATTGGTGGGAGCGAGCTATCAGCGACACTGACCGCATGTCAGAGCCATGTTTTCCACGCCGAATGTATGCAAGGTTTGACTTTGGTTGGATGGGTTAGAGATTTTCTGAATAGCGGAAAACGGTACATAGTGGTTCACATGCCCTTCTATATTCCAAACCAGCCTTTGCTTTACATGTCCACTATATGAACTTAAATAATTAAACAGATTATGACCAAATTCAATCCTTTCCGTGAGATGAAAAAAACATAATAATTGTTATTCAATATTCTAGACCCATATGGTCAATTGGTTATTCTGGAAGTAGTTGTTGGTCTGTTTCACTATATACTGCCCAAGCTCACTGGTACGGTACAAGCACAGCGACGAGAATATATTCGGGGGCTTTCTCAAAGCGGACGGAAACCTCCACTAGTAAAATAGCTGGAGAGGGAATTGCTCGAGCTGTGGGGTCTCTTTCTATGCTGACTTCGTGTTGAATGAATGCTCCCCACATGCCGCGCAGGTTGCACCACGTGGCGTCTGCGTATGAGCTGCGACGCCCAGCTAAGTCATGCGAATTTTACGGCGCCATGGGCGATGAGAACGAATCAAGCCGTAAACCTTCGCGCCTTTTTCATCTCCTAAAGAGTCCCCACCGCGAACTCTGTTTCCTTCAAACAGCGCTTGTTTCTTCTTCAAGCACCTCATTCCGAACATTATCGCCGTACCTGAAGCAGCGAGGCAGTCTCTTTCCAGCCTAAGTGATCTCTGGAAACTTCTTTCTCTTCATTGAAGACCTTATTCCCATGGCGCAACGACAAGAGCGCGAGCACAAGGCAGAAGGAGAGTCCACCTCGCCGATCACGATGGCGGATGTGGCCGGGAAAGCAACGGAGCGGGAGCAGCTTGCAGCGGAAGATCGGCCAGTCACCAAGGAGGACGCGGCTTATCAGCAGATGGCAGAGACGGCCGCACATGGGAAGGTACATATCAACAGTCCGGTTCTTGAGATGAAGCGATTAAGACATGTCTACGTGTAGTGCATGCATGGTTAGTTATGAATCTTTCAGTGAGTTCTCCAGTGCGGATTTGTGCATGTGTTATCTTGCACTCTCGTTCATGGTATAGAGCACTGGTCTCTCGAATTCTTCAGTTCACCACACGCATCTTGAGCTTCAAAATTGCGTGACCGGCTTTCGCAGCACCGCATATGTATCCGTCCTTGTGCACGTGTGCTTGCATGTCTGTGTTCTTAGATGTGCGCCCGCCTCCTTTTTTTTTTTCAAACCATCACACTGTGGTCCATGTCTGTGGATAACTATCTGAATTGTCCATGTCCGTTTCAGACGGCCCCAGGCGGGCCAGCAGCTACTTCACAGTCTGCTGCGGACAAGAACGTGCAGATGGGAGTACCCTTCACGACCAGCAACCAAGAGAGGAGTGCGGTGACAGGGAAGACACACCAGAGCACGACAAAAGGCCCTGGAAGGGGGGCGCAGGCGAAGACAGGTCCTGAGCTGGCAAGGGATGCTGCAGCTATGGCGAGTGAAGGTGTGGAAGGGAAGACGACAGAGGAAGGCGGGGACATGCCTATGAGTGGGAGTAGTGGTGCCGGCAGCTTTAGGGCTGAGCCAAAGGAGTAGCTCCAGCTTTTGGGGATTGTGCACAACCACTTGGAGTTGTTGTGGACTGGGTGTAAATACACCTGAAAAGGACACATATCGATTCAACTACTGTATTGACCATAGCTTGATGAGCATTGTGCACTTTTTCTCAATATTGTCATGTGGCATCAACTGGGGAGAGGGCCTGAGCTTACAGCCAACGCCCTTCCCATTTTACATTCGCACGTCCTTATTACGGTAGTTCTGTTAAACTTCAAAGTTACTTGAACCCTGCAAAATCTGCAAAATGTAAACGTCAAATGTAAAAAACATTTGGCAGATTCTGACATTTTTATTGTGAATGGTTCTGAGATTAATGTTTTAAAATAAATGGGCATGCATACCGTAACTGCTTCATTGTGATATCTTTATTATTTCAAGTACACTTTGGTACAGCTTTGAAACAAATGTTGAAAGGATAATTGAAGAAAACGGACCTCACGGCCGGGTCTCCTCATTGGTCAATAACGACCTGCCAGGTAACTGCCACTAGCTGGTGCTACTTGGGATTTCCCTGCCACGTCAAGTTTTCCAACGGACGTGGCTAAATGCTGCCGTTCGGCCGCTAAAACCAGAGCACTTAGCAGAGCAATCTGTAAGCTCAGGGTTCTCCTGCTGCCAGAGTGGGCTTATCCAGACGGTCGTTGGCTGCCAGGTGGATTTCGCACAGTGTGTTTCGCCTGTTGCCGCTTCCCAAAGGGTTTGGTCGACGGATAGCATCGTGCTTGGGTGTTCCGCTCAGAAAGAAAAAGCCGGGTGAAGCCCCCCGAAATAATTCGCCCCGCCCAACGGACGGCTTACGAAATTACGGGCAGAGTCGACGGACCGCTAACGACCGAGGGCAGAATCAAGGTTACGAACAGGTGACGAGCACGAAGAAATCGAGGAGTGCCCACGTAGTAAACAACGGCAGAGGGGGGGTGGGGGAAGGATATCCCAGTTTACAGTACAGTGTACAGCTCCACGGGCACGTTAAGGGAAAAGTTATATATGTTTACCTGGGCTAGAGAGTGGAGCTGCTGCTGTGGAAAAACTATGAAGTGCCGTGCCGTGTAGTGTGAGGGAGCCGTAGTAGAGACGGCTGGATGGACTTCTTTTGGAAGTACAGTAGTTGGTTTGGGACGACTGTCAAGAGCTGACGTTTATCGGCAACCTCGAGTGAAGCGACGGCTAGATGAACTAGAGAGTGTGAGTTGCTCGACTGAATACCGGGAACGAATTGCGCAACTCGCTCTGACAGGATTCACTTGTCCAGTCATGGCGGTCGCACAGTGGTGATACGCGCAGTTGCTGATTGTCCGAGCGAACCAATCAAGTGCCGACTGAGACCACGAGAAGTGAACCGCCAGAATATCTGCGACGGGACTCGAAAGCCAGCCCCTTCTAATTTCGCCGCTCGCTGAAAGTCCAGTACTTTCGAGCTGCTAGCAAGTTAATTCCAGTAAAAGGATCAGCGGAGCATTGGTGACACACGCGCGCGGCGGCTGGCATGCGTTGCTGCTAACCGCGTCGAAGACGAGCAAGCATGGCTGCTGTTGAGTCTGCACCGGCTGTACCAGCACCAGGAGCAACAGCAGGCGCTACTGCTAGCAACGGTCCGCTCCCCAGTTTCACGCAGCCCGTGGTGGGGAAGGCAGAAGCGCCGCTGCTCGCGCTACACCCCGCGGGGATCAATGCAGGCGGAGGCGAAGACGGAGGCGGAGGCGGAGCCGTCGCGCAGCACTTCACAAGTGCGCTCTCCGCGCCGTCCCCCGGCGGCGCTCGGGAACCCGCGGACGGGAGCGGGGCTCGCGCGGAGAGGGAGACCTCTCCCACAGATGCGGATGGTGACGGTGGGGACGGCCCCGCCAGTAGCAGCCCGCAGAGCAGTCCCGCGGCCTCCGGCGGAACCCAGACGCAGGATGGCGGAGGCGGGGATACCGAGGATAAAAAGAACTCGACGGCGGTGCGGGAGGAATGGACGGACGAGGCGACCGACGCGGTGTTGGAAGTTTGGGCGCGAAAGCACCTGTCTTTAAGTCGCGGCAAGTTGAAGAAGCACGAATGGGAGGAGGTGGCGCAGCGCGTTAGCGAGATGCTCGGCCACGCGAATGCCAAGACGTGGCTACAGTGCAAGAATAAGATCGACTCGATAAAAAAAAAGTACAAGTCCGTGCGGTGCCAGCTTGCCGCGGGCGGCTCGGTCAAGCGCGAATGGCGGCTGTATGACCGAGTAGATTACCTCTTAGGCGGCGGCTCCGCGAGTCACGGGACAGGAAGCATGGGTAGACCTGCTCCCATCGGCTCCGCGTCTTTATTCTCCACCGTGGGCGCCACGTCGAGCAATGGCAGAATGCCAGGTGGCGCCTTCGGAGCTGTTTACGGCAACGCCGCGATTAGCGGCGGAATGAGCGGCGGAATGAGTGGCGGAATGAGCGGCGGGATGGGCGGCGTGATTGGCGGCGGGATGGTGAATGGGCTTCCAGGAGTCATGGGCGGCGGTATGGGGAGCCTCATGGGGGCTGCTATGGGGAATAACGGGCTCGTCTCCGCCGCCGTCGCCGCCGCAAATGTCGCTCTGGGGACGAACGCAGCTTTAGGATCGTCGCGCGTGTTTCCCGGAAAAATGGGGTCGATCGCAGGCGACAACGTGGTTACTGAAGCGAGCGACGACGACGATGACGATGACGACGACGAGGACGACGAAGACGACGACGAAGGCGACGGAGCGAACGGCGGAACGAGCGCGCAAGGCAGCAGGGGCGGCGCGGCCGCCGCCGCCGCCGGCAACAGCGCGGTCAACCCGCCGTTGCTGCAAGATTCGCTGATGAAGCAGCGGCGGTCGTTCAGCCTTCCGCTAGACCCGCGCATGCAGCACTTGATGGGGAAAACCGTCGCTTCCCCCGGCGGGGGTATGGGGCCGGGGGGAATGATCAGGGGAATGCCGATGGCCCCGGGCGGAATGATGGCCGCACTGGGCAGCCCCATCGGCGGAGGGCTGGGCGCCTCCCCGCATCAACACGCGCAACACACGCAAGCGTACGGGATGGCGGCGGCGGGGGGGATCGGCGCGGGGGGGATCAACGGCGGCGCAAGCGGAAACTTCACGTCGCCGGGGGGAGCCGCGGGGGCGGGAGGAGCAGGCGGCGCGAACGGCGCGCTGCGGCCGTCGGCGGCGAAGCTGAAGCGGAAGGCTTCGTCCGCGGCGGTTAAGGACCTGGCGCTGGCGGTGCGCGAGTTCGCGTCGGTGTACGAGCGCGTGGAGCGCGCTAAGGTGGAGCAGATGGTCGAAATGGAACGACTGCGACTCGAGTTCAGTCGCGAGATGGAAGTGCGGCGCATGAAGGTGCAGCTAGAAGTCGCCAGGCTCGCGGGCGGCGGAGGGGGAAGCGGGAGCGGAGCGGGCGCGGGAGGCGGAGGCGGAGGGGGTGCGGGGAGTATGAGCGCCGCTGCGGCGGCGGCGACGGTGGAGCTGTCTGGCGGAGCGGATGGGGGGATTGCGGGGATGGTTGGGACGGGTTCCGTGCTTCCGCCGGGCTCGTTACAATGACACTCGATAAGAGCACTCCCTGAAGTGCTGTCAAGCGAGGTATGCCACCGCGCGGCACACCACCCCTCCCCCAACCCCCCCGCCACCCCTCCCTTAACCAGAGCGGAACAGAGAAAAGGGAGGGGACGTATGGAACAGAAGAAATGGATGAAATAGGAATGGAGGGCACTGAAGGAACAGGAGTGACAGAGAAAGGGAGGTAGAGAAAAAACGATGGGAGCAATGGACGGTGGGGTGAAACAAGAGTGCCCAGTGGGGGGCCGTGGGTTCGTGAGGTGAAGATAGAGTGAGGTGGGGAGATTAGAGTAGAGGATGAGGTAAGGTGAGGGGAGGTTAAGGTAACTTGAGGGGAGGTGAAAAGAAGAGAGGTAGATTGAGGTGAGGAGAAGCGAGGTGGGGTGAGGAGAGGAGTGGTGCGCCGTTGAGATGAGAGGCAAGAGAAGCATCGTGGGTAGGTAGGTAGGTAGTGAGTGAGTGAGTGAGGGAGGGCGCTCACAGGATGGACGCCGAGTGCTTGCTCGTGAGGCTGATGCCACTCACTCATTGGCTGGGTGAGTGGGAGAGTTAGTCACAGTGGGCGCGTTACATGTATGCTCAACAGAGAGTGCATGCAGCTCTTTGTAAGCAGCTGTTTGCAAGCTGCTCTTCCCAGTGTGGTTGGCGTGAGCGAGCGGCTGTAAGCCCTGAATTTGCATGCCCAGCAGTGCCCTGCCCAGCCCCCTCACACATGATGAGCAAAAGGCCCTCATTGCTCCGCAAATGATCCACAATAGTCCCGAATGAAGAATCGCGAAGAGACGTAGTGAGAAGAGGAGAGGACTGCAGTGAATAACGCTTATGCCTCTGTGTCCTTGCGTCCCCGCCCCCATACCCCAACCACAGCACATCTCGTTGATCCCTGACAACTGCCTACACTCACATCCGCGTCTCATCTCTGATAGGTCCATCCTCCTCCACCAGGCGTGCCATTAACTCCACTACGCTCAATTGCCATCCTGACCCTGACCCCTCACCACCTCCCTTGACAGCCAACTCAAGGCAGCAACACCAGTTCCCCCACCCACCACTCACCAGCACACCCTCACCCCTCTCTCCTCCTCTCCAGCTTCACGCCTCTACAGCCTTCCAGCCCCACCCTGCTGCCTCTCTCCTATTTTATCGCCTCTCTGCTCACTCCCACGGTAGCAGCTGCTGCAACAACTGGGGGAACAGGAAACGTTAGTTTCACGTCCCCCCTGTGTCGAGTCACCCGCTCGCTCCCCCATTATTACCTGAGGGCTGGTAGCAACAGTACCGGAGGCAACAGAAGCAGCTGCAGCAGCAGCCGTGGCAGCGGCAGCGGCGGCGGTAGCGGCGGCGGTAGCGGCGGCGGTAGCGGCGGCGGCGGCGGCGGCGGTAGCGGCGGCGGTAGCGGCGGCGGCGGCGGCGGCGGCGGCAGCAGCAGTGGTGGCATTCCGTGTTGGTGGTGGAAGAGGGTGCAGTGAGCAGTTGAGGCAAAGAGCTCATTTTAAATCACCAGCATTACGTGGCATGAGAGCAACTCCCCCCCGCCCTATTTCATGATTTTATTGTTGAGACACGTCATACATAAATTCGATTCACCGACATCCCATGGCATGGAAGCAACTCTCATGTCATGCCATGCCATGTCAGGTGACTTCATGCTTCTGCAGTCCTGCCCTGCCTTCTTGTGCCCGTCACTGCTTGTGTGTTTGCACCAGTATCTCCATGAAATGTAGAAAGAAGGCGCTGTAAAGGGGTTGAAAGCGGTTCATGTGGTGGTGGTGTTGCAGTTGGAGAGTGGAAGATAGGAAGAGGAGGGTGAAGTTTGGGAGGGTGAAGAATGGACAAGGGAGATTCTGTGCAGCGTGTTGGCAATCTGAACCCTTCAGAGGCGAAGCACAAGCATGAAGGAACGGGGAATGTGAACAGAGAGGGACTGTGGTGTTCACCTACGGTACCAGGTAGCTTAACCCTGTAGAGCACTACCAATGCAGCCCACTCACGATTGCGGATGAGTGAAGCCTTCTGCTGCGTGTTTTGTGGTTGCTTATTAACCGCACTTGCGGATTATGGTGTTACTGTACTATGCACCTGAAATGATGTTCAATAAAAAATAAAACACGAGAAATAATGCTTAAAGCCCGCGGCCCAAATTGCGGACTGCGCGGCTCAAGTTTTTAAAGCTCAAGGCCCAAATTGTTCAACCTTACTAAGGTTGCCCTTTGGGTGGCGGGAGAGGAAGGTTGACCTTGTTGAAGTTGGGCTATCCAGTTTCGCCCAGCTTCTCGCTACACCCCTAGGGTTTTCGCTGACTAAGCAAACCCCTGGGAGCAACTCGATTTGGTTCTCGAGTCCCAAATTGCACTCACAATATTCTTGGTGTTTCCTTCTCTCCTATTCGACAAAAAAACTGTTGGCCAATCAAATTGAATCGCACTTCACGTAACCACAATTCGCAGCCAAACAACACTCAAAACACCACTCTCATCAACTTTAGTAAGCTTGCCCCGCGCGCTCTGCAATTTGGGCCTTGAGCTTTAAAACTTGACGAAGTGCCCTGTGCAAGCTTTGAAAAGCTGAGCAGGTGCAATTTGGGACTTTCGAAGTCAATCACACCCACCAGGGAAAAAACGAGGGGCTCGGTGGGTTTGGCGAAAAAAGCGACTTTGACGAAATCAGAAACGCTCGCCAAAACCCAAACCTGTAAAACCCCCCTCGTCATCTTTTTAAAACTTGTGCAATTTGAGCCAACGGCTTTTAAGACAAGTGGTGGAATGCTCATTCCTTACATGTTAAAGCTCGCGGCCCAAATTGCGGGGCGCGCTGGCCAAGCTTACTAAGGTTGACGGGGGTGATATTTTGAGTGCTGTTTGGGTTGCGAAGGGTGGTTACGAGAAGTGAGATGCAATCTGATTGGCCAGATATTTTTTGTCGAATGGGAGAGCAGGGAACAACAACAATATGTTGATTGCAATTTGGGACTCTCGAAGCAAACCCATGTTGCTCCCAGCGGTTTGCCGTGTCAACGAAAACCCCAAGGGTCTAGCGCGAAACTGGGCGAAAGCAAACAGCCCAACTCCCAACAAGTCAACTTCTTCTCTCGCCACCCAAAGGTCAACCTTACTAAGGTTGAACAATTTGGGCCGCGAGCTTTAACACAGGCAAATAACGGTGTGCTTGTTACATCAAACATACTAGTACATTCCTAGGATAGCCTGTCTAGACTTGTGCAGCACATACTAATTTATAAAACGCATTTATCTGCAATGGGAACGCATTGCGAAACTTTTTGATAGCAACATTGAGCAGTGAATGTGATGTTTGATTGGCCCACACTTCACCGACATTACAAGAAAGTTCTGCCCCTCCACCTAGCCTCACTCTCATTTGTTTCCCGCGCAAGTCACTTCCCGTGCATCCGCCGCGCCCATTTGGCGCGCCTCGGCCCGAATCGATGTTTGATAGGGAGTTACGTGGTAACCAGCCGCCCAACCAACTCAACCATCAGCACATCCTCCTTCGGGAAGGTATTGCAGGCAACGGCTAAAAAATAATTGATGGCGCTGCCTTATTCAATCTGCCCGTGAAAATAAGCACGGAAAGCTGTTGATGGCAGTGTCTGTCACAGTACCACACATCGGGGCTGCTCCTTACCCCAATGCACCCTATTGTTGCATTGAAGCCTTTCGGAAGGGACTATTGTGCTGCAAACCAGTCGCTCGCTGGGACAGCAGTTTGTGTCGGAAGACATACATAACAGCCGTCGTGTCATTATTGTGTCGATTAAACATAAGATCATGAGAAGAAAGGGAACCACTTGGTGGGTTTCGGGTGTTGTTGATGGCATCCGAGTCGCATGATGGCCCTGAACCGTTATTTTCTCATGCCCCGGCTGTCGTCTTTCTGCCCGGATATGAAACACTACCTGTCAGCACAGTCACACTCGGGATTTTCTGGGGTCACCGATTTTCTGGCTGCTCCATTTTTCATACACACAGCAGCCAGTCTCCTCGCATCGTCTCCAGTGGCAATCGCCAGCCGCTGTGCCTACAAAGGCCAGCTCCTGCGCCACTCGGCCTAAGAAAAGGCTTACCTTTTCACTTCCAGCGCCATCGCCATGGCCCGCCGTGCGAGCCCCTCGTCGAGGGTGGTCCTCACCTTCGCCGCGCTCCTCTCCGCGTCGTTCTTGACGGCGAGCCTTCCGCGTCTCGCGGACGCAGTTCCCCTCTCGTTCGTGCTGACTCAGGTCCGCAACAAGACGAACACGTCCCCTTTTACCGCGGACATTTCCGCGGGAATGGTGGAATTCGCTGCGGGATACGACAAGGCGACGGACATTGCTGGAGGAACCCTCTTCCTGCCGATTGATGCTGCGTGGACTGCCGCGCTCAATGGATACAAGGCCGCGAACGCGTCTGCGACGATCGCGTCGGACCCGCTTCTCGAGGCGCTGGATACGCTGGTGAAGACCAACGGGTCCCTGGGGTCCCTTAACTCCATGTCCAGTGGCGGACGGAACGCGCTGTCGCGGCTCGCCAAGTTCTTGGCGATTCGCGAGTACCTCGACAACGCGAAACTGAACAGCACCGTGAGTCCTTCTCCACGCGGCCCCACTTTAAAAAACAACCCACTTTACAAGCTTCGAGTCAAAATAGAAATCCAAAGAACCCTGAACATTGGGCGCCGTTCACTGTCCGAATCGTCTCTTCACACGTCCATTCTCCCTCGTTCCCTCCCCTTTCTGCGCAGTACAAGAGCGGCCGGTTCAGCTTCAGCTCGCTGCTGAACCAGAACATTTGGCTCTACGGCGACACCGCAGCTGACGTCTGGTACCTCACCGGAACGGACCCCGATTTCCTCCTCAAGCCTCCTACCGGTTCCGCCAAGCTCGCCGCCACTGTTGCTGCCCCCGCGCCCGCCTCCGGCGCCGCGCCTGCTTCCGCGCCTGCGCCCGCTCCGTTCGCGGACACTACCGTTGACACGCCGCCGGCAGCGGCCCCCGCGCCTGCGGCCCCCGCGCCTGCGGCACCCGCGCCTGCGGCACCCGCGCCCGCGGGAAGCGGCACTGGAGCGCTTGTGCCTGGAAGTGGCGCAGGAGGGCCGAAAGCCGTGTCGGTGCTGGCAATTGTTCTGCCTCTGTACTCGAAGAACACGATTCTGGGCGTGACTACGTCGTCGTCTGACGTGTCGGTGAACCTGGTGTCCGATGTGGTGTTCCCCAGCAACATGGCCTCGCTCACCTCGTTCGACGCTACCTCCGCTTACGGCACTGTTGATAAGGGTGAGTTTTTTGGGGAAATTTTGGGCGTTCTTTTCTTGCAGTATGTAGGTATTGCTGGTTGGGGGTTGTGATTCAAAGAACACACTTGTGCTCAAGCCTCACCTCAAACCTCGAACCCTCACGTAACCTCAACATGGAATCCACACACAACCTTAAACCTGCCTCAAAACCTTTAACCCTGAACCCTGTACTTGTGTTCTTGCACCCTTATTTGCATGGGTTGTGCAGGTGCAAACGCTCTGTTCAGCAACGGGATTGCCCTCCTTGCAGCTCTGATGGCGCTGCTTGTGCTCTTCTGACGGATAGCCAGTGTAGCCGTCCTTGATACGATTTTGGTGTGTTAGTGAACAATCCAGAGTAGGGGGCCACTACACCAATTCCGTGTAGTAAGGGGATTAGCTTTGTGACAAGTAAACCACTAAGGTTTTTATTTAGTGCCTGTCAACTCTAGCTCCATTGCACAAGGTGCAACAATGGTAACAGAACCCAGCGAGTGTTGAAGCCAAATCTGTTCCAAGCGCAGCGAATCACGTTGCGCCAGCGCCAATTTGTTGCCAGAAACAATTTTCAACCTTTCGCGATGGTGCAATTCCGTGTCGCCAGACACGCATTGTTCGTCGGCGAACAAAAATCCGTGCGGCCAATGGCGCGCGACTGACGCGAGTCCTGACCAACCCAGCCGTGCTGGCAGGGTAAGTCCGCGCGCGACCGGCGAAAGCGCCCTCTCGATTTCGCCACTCTGCCTGCTGACCAGCTTTTTTCTGTCTGTTTGCTGACCTCTGCTGTGTGCTTGATTCAGCTCAGCTCATCTCTCCCACTCACTCGACTCCCCTCGTTTGTGCTCCACTGCTCCTCGTCGTCAGCTTCCGAGCTCCTCTCGTCATTCTGGGAACTCCCCGCTGGCAGATGAGAAGATGCGAATCTACGCGGAGCAGCTGCGAAGTTGCACACAGCTCTCTCTCTGTGTACCTCCCCGTGACCGTTGCTGCGACCACGGACACTGGCGCTGGAAGAGTATTCTTGAGGTTGCCACAAAGAGACATTGCACGGAAACTATCCGTCGGGTAGGCATATTGGAACTCGTCATATAGGAACTGCGGCGCGGACGCCCGTCCAGGTTAGGACAACATCTCGAAACAGAGTCCTCTTACCGCCGGCCCCGTAGTATACATAGTACGTTGGTTTTACTTACCGCACAACACACCCACCCCCCTCTCCATTCCCCCCCATTCCGAACCCGCGCGGAGAGTGATCGTATGAGTGGCCATCAACATCACCTCCGAAGTGTAAATAGCGCGTACTCGTAGCTTCTCGCTAGCTACTCCTAACTTCTCCTCCGCCTTCCCCCTTCCGCGTTCCGCGTTCCGTGTTCCGCCTTCCGCAATCTCGCGCGGCGGCGGAACCGAATCTAGTAGGCCACGTTCCCTTCCGAACGCAGCGCCGACAGTCTCCCTCCGAGACAGGCGGAGATACGAGCCCTTCCGCCTCTCGGCGCGCGGCGGAACCAACCAGCCGATGGCGTACGGCGACGACGACGATTACGACCGCGCGGCGGGCGCGGGCGTGCCCATGGGGTCGTGGACCACGGGGTGCTGCGCGTGCGCGGACGAATGCGCCGGAGGTGGGTGAGCGCTCGGCGCGGTGCGTGATGGCGTGGAGGCGCGAGAGGGGCATAGATGGGATCGGCAGGGGTGAACCGGTTGGCGTTTCTCCAATCCCAGCACCTAGCGTGTGGCGTGGCCGTGGGGGCGTGGCCGTGGGGGCGTGGCCGTGGGGGTGGTGTTCCAGGTAGGCCAATCCCACGGCCATCATTCATCCCCAGCGGGAATCCCACGCGTGAAAGCGGCTGCGCATCTCCCCCCTTCCCTGCGCGCGCGAGTCTCTCCATTGCGCACTCCGTACCTCCGCACATCCTGCCTCTTGCTGCCGCCTGCCAGCTTGCACGTTTCGCATACGCTGCCTCTCAAATCACCTCACACAACATCCGTTCCATTCCCTCTGCCCTCCCTTCCGCCCCGTCATCTCCCCCGCGCGGCCTGCGCGCAGCGCTGTGCGCGTGCATGTGTCCGTGCGTGGTGGTGGGGCGCATTGCCGAGGTCGTCACTGACGGCTACACCGGTCAGCTGCCCTGCTACCTACCCCTCGCCCCTCGCCCCTTCCTTTGCCTCTTGCCTCTTGCCTCTTGCCTCTTGCCTCTTGCCCCTTGCCCATTTTCCCGCGCGCCCCGCTGTTCTTGCTTCCTTGGTTGCTTGCACGCCTTTCAGTTTCAACCCTCGCAAATCTCTTAGTCTTCCAGCATTCCACATCTTCAAATCGGGCAAACGTCCCTCTCCCACAACATACCCCGTCGCCCTCCTCCATTCTCCATCTCCCATCTACTACCCATCATCCCCCATCCACCATCCGCCATCTCCCATCTCCCGTCTCCCATTCCCCATTGCCCGCCCTGCCTGTAATAACCTTTCAAGGATCATTCGTCCCTTCCTTCTCCCCAGCAACACCACTGCCAACCACTCGCTTGCTCCCCACCCTCCCGTTCCTTCCCCGCACGCCCTTTCCCTCGCCCCCTGCCTGTCTCCATCCGCACTCCCTGCGCGCGCCTGCCCTCCCCCTTCCCGCCATGGCAGACGCGTGCGTGGCGGCGTGCCTCTTCTGCTGCATGCAGCTCTGCTCCCTCGGCGCGCTCGGCTGCTGCTACTCGCACTGTGAGCGCGCAAACACACGGGCACTGCTGGTGGGGCGCATGGGCGCAGGGGGTGTGAGCATGGGCGCAGGGGGTGTGGGCATGGGCGGATGGCCTGTATGGGGATGGATGGGGACGAGTGGAATGTGTGGGCTATACATACCTGTGCTTCATGGTTGGTGCTCCCCTCCCTTCCTCCTCCCCTCCCTTTATCTCCAGTCTTGATATCCTTCCTAGCCCCCCGCCAGTCCCGCTTCCTCCAAACACCACTTCCCCCAACCCTCCCCTCTTTCCCCACCCCTCCGCTCTTTTCCCCACCCCTCCCCTTTTCTTCCATTGCCACAACCATCTGCCCCAAGATATTACATGTTTCAAGGCCCACCTTTTTCTCCCCATCCCTGCTCCCCCCTCCCATCCCCCCCATCTCCTCCATCCCCCCCATCCCCCCCATCTCCCCCATCTCCCTTTTTCCCCATCTCCGCGCCAGTGTTCTGCCAGCGCCTGCAGCACGGCCACATGCCCATTCCTCCATGACCCACACCCCGCTTCCTCCCTTCCCCCTCTTTCCCCCTCCCGCCCCGCCTTCTCCTCCTTCATTCTGCCCTGCAGTGTTCCGAGCGCGTCTGCGCCACAACTACATGCTGCCAGCGGAGCCGTGCCCCGACTGCTGCAAATCTCAAACAACTCCTCTCCCGTCATCCCCCCTTCCCCCTCCCCTCCCCTCCCCCCATGTCCCGAGAACGCCAGTGTTCCGCGCGCGCCTGCGCCACAACCACATGCTGCCAGCGGAGCCGTGCCCCGACTGCTGCAAATCTCAAACAACTCCTCTCCCGTCATCCCCCCTTCCCCCTCCCCTCCCCTCCCCCCATGTCCCCGCCCTTCCGAGAACGCCAGTGTTCCGAGCGCGTCTGCGCCACAACTACATGCTGCCAGCGGAGCCGTGCCCCGACTGCTGCGTGCATGCGCTCTGCCTCTGCTGCGCACTCGCCCAGGAGCACCGCGAGCTCAGGAACCGCGGCTGGGACCCCCGCCTAGGTGCGCACTCATGCAGTCGCTCGCAGTGCTCTCGCTCATGAGATGTCCGCATGGGACGTTCGCATGGGATGTCCACATGGGATGTTCGCATGACATGTTCGCATGGGATGTTCTCCTGCACTCTTGCACTATCTTCCCCACCCCATCTTCTCGCCACGCCAGCACTTTTCCACCCGTCCTTGTGTCTTGCCCCTCCCACCCTCTCCTTCCCTCACCTCTTCATCGCCTCCTGCGTTCTCCTCCCACTCCCCCATTCCTCCGCCACACTCCCTCTCCCACCTCTCACACTTCCCCTCCTCATCCCTTCACTCCCCCTCTGCCCGCCGCTCCCTCTCCCCCACCCAACCTCTTTCCTCCCCCTCCCCTCTCCCCCGCCCCCCCCCCCCCCCCAGGCTTCCATGAGAACGTGCGGATATTCCAGTCGCGAGGGCTGGCCCCTCCCCACCAGTGCATGCTGCGCTGAGGGGAACTGGCCTCTCAACTCAATCGCCACAGATGCGTTGGGTTGCACACACTTACGCTATGTAAAAAGATCTGCGGAAATCCCGAGGGCAATCGTTGTGAGCTTCTGCAAAACCACCCCTGTTCCCCCCTACCTATACAAGGGACTACGTACTTGTGCCATCATACATACAGAACAGGCTTTCCAGTGTGGCATTTTGGAAACCTTGCCTTCTGCTCGGAGATTGGGCTTTTAGGACAGCAGGCAGTTTTGACAGTTACAGTACCTCGTTTGTCTGCACCATTTTCCATGTACGTATCTATAGTTTATTTGGCATTTGTCAAATGTCCTCGCAGTCAACATAGCCATACTAGATTTACAAGGGTGTGATAGGTGTGCAGTGGTGAGTGATATCTAACTAAATATGTAGGCACATTTATGACAAATTACCAGGAAAAATATGCCAAAGCTTCAGAAACTAATGCCACTCCTAGGTACTGCTAAGGTAAGTTGCTATGCTAACCCTTCTTCACTCCCAAGTTCCCAACTCGAATGCTACGGTATTTACCTCACCCGTAAATCACTCTGCTCCTGGGCTGTGGCCTCCCTGCACCAGCAGCACCAGTTCCTAATCCACCCATTTTCTCGGTGCTGCCGCCCTTGCACCCGTGGCTTCAGCACGAGCAGCAGCCTTCTCTTGCGCCATGGGCGGCACCACCCCCGCCTGCACGTTCTTGTCCGCCGCTGACTGCATTGCAGCTGCTGTGCCGCCCTTCACGGGCTGGGGATGGACAGAAGGGGAGAGAGGTGGAAGAGGAGGCCAGAGGCAGAGTCAGTGTCGCTTGTGCCCAGGCTAGTTTTGAGACACCTCAAAACTTGTGCCCAGGCTTGGTCTTCTAGAAACCGCCACTGGATTCACGCTCACATGCGTGTGCACTGTGCTGTGATATGCATGACATGAAAAGATTTTATACCTTTGGCTAAAGCATTTGTAGCATTCAATGAAGGAAGAAGAAAAACCAGCCACCTGACTTGATTCTCACTTACCCCGCCGTGCATCATGGACTCCATGTGCTCAGCTCTGGCGGCGTCCGCCTTAATGACGAGGCGGCTCCTTTCCTCCGCGCTCAGCTGCTCTCCTGGTGGCACCACGTCCCCCATGCGGATTGGGGAACCCTGTCAAATGTTGTAGCCTTAGTGAGGTTTGTCTTAGGGGGTACAGAGGTTAGGGTTTGTTATATGTACCCCAACTCACATCAATCACATTATTAGTTCCTTTCCTGACATGGTATCACCTAGGTTCGGATCCTGTGGGATCCCGCTCCTCCCGACCTCGTTCGATTTGCCCGAGCCTGTCTCACTCTGTCGTACTAGTTGCGCACGTCTTACCCGAGCCTAGCGCCGGCCCGCTCTAGTCGCGTTCGTTCGTTACCGCCCGTTCCGCCGATACACTACTCTCGTAGCGTAGTGTGAAGAATGAGGATCACTACGTCACCACACAATCCGAGCACAAGAGCAAGGCCAAAAGGCCAGTTCAGATGCAAGATCATATATAAAGGTAAACATGCAAGTGCAGGTATAGAAAGATCACAGTACAAGCAAAGTCAAGAAGTGAGCAAGTGAGGCCAAGTAGGCACAAGACCTAGCATCGTACAGAAGCGCTGATGATCACCAGGCGGAAGTGCCTTGGTAAAGATATCAGCAGTGTTGGCCTCAGAGGCCACGTAAGCAAGGCGCAGCTGACCACGCTGCTGCAGCTCACGAGCAAGGAAGTAGCGAAGAGCAATGTGCTTCGTTCTGTGCTCCAGTCTGTGCTCCCGACACAAGGCCAGCATGGCCTTGTTGTCTACGTACAGAACTGGAGGAGAACGAGGCGGCTCTCCGAGGTCAGTCAGCAGGTAGGTGAGCCAGCGTAGCTCCTGTGCAGCCATGGCCCCCGCGTAGATCTCAGCCTCACAGCTGGAGCCGAGAACAGAAGACGAGCGGGTAGACCGCCACGAAACAGAGCCGGAGCCAAGGCTGAAGGTGTAACCCTGTGACGACCTCTGCGTAGCCTGGTCGTCAGCCCAAGAAGCGTCTGCGTGACCTGTGAGGACCACTCGACGTCGCCCTCCAAGCACTAGCCCCATGCCCGACGTACTGCACAAGTAGCGCAACACTCTCTTCGCTGCAGCCATGTGCTCTGGTCGGTGTCTCCCAGGAGCAACATAGCGTGCCAAGATGCTAAGAGGGTATGCAAGGTCAGGTCGTGTGCAGGTCATCAGGTACATGAGGCAGCCAACAAGCTCTGGGTACGGGCCACTCGGCTCTACGGACTCATCCGAAGGCAGAGCTGAGAGCGAGTGGCGAGTAGACAGAGGAGTGGCCTGAGGCGAGGAGTACGTGAAGTCGAAGCGCTGAAGGACCTGCTGCACCATGTGTGACTGAGTCAGGGTAATGGTGCGCTGAGCTCTGTCCCGGGTGATCTGCAAGCCAAGGTAGCTGCGCAGTTCACCCAGGTCTGTGCACGTGTGTCTCTTCTGCAGCTCGGACTTCACGTGGGCGAGTCCAGCAGTGTCAGCAGTGGCAAAGACCAAGTCGTCGACGTACACGAGGATATAGAACGGCGGCAGAGAGGTGTCGGTGCGTAGAAACAGCGACGGGTCGGCTGTAGAAGGAGCAAACCCAAGAGCCGCAAGTGTAGTCCTCAGTGTGTCGTGCCACTCACGGGGCGCCTGGCGGAGACCGTAGACTGGCCGCCGGAGGCTCCACTGGGTACCAGGAGGAAACGACCCAGTGAAGCCAGGTGGGCGGCACAGCCAGATCTCCTCGTGCAGGCTGCCCTGCAGGAAAGCTGTGCTGAAGTCAAGAGAGTGAAGCTCGTAGTCGCGCTGAGCGGCTATGTGTAGCAGCACCCGAAGAGTGGTCATCTTCGGGGTGGGAGAGAAGGTCTGAAAGTAGTCAACTTCCTGCCGCTGACTGAAGCCTCGAGCCACGTAACGCGCCTTGAAGACAGGCGGAGAACCCGGCGGCCGCTTCACCCTGAAAATCCACATGCCACTGACGATGTTCGCCCCAGGTGGGGGAACCTCGTCGACGTAGGTGCCTGTGGACTTCCAGGAAGCCATCTCTGCGTCCATGGCTGACTGCCACTGTGAGGAGTAGGGACCCTCGATTGCCTCAGCGTACAATCGAGGAGTCGGGATGTCTGGTGCATCCGGGTCTCCCTCAGGGGCAATCAGCGTGGACACGAGATGAGGTAAAGCAGCAGCAAAACACTGGAACTCCTCCTGCCTGTCCTCAAGGACGTCCGTGCTAAGAGCACACTCACCCCCGACGGACGGAGGACAGACAGACTCAGACTCAGCAACGAGACTAACGGCGTAGTCTAGACGACAGCGAGCAGCAAAGTCGACAAGCTCAGCAACCAAGGCAGACGCAGCAGTGGACTCAAAGGAAGGGTCACTGACAACTGTAGCCAGGAGACGCGTGACAGTAGGACTGGCAGCACGAAGAGAGTCAGACTCCGGGTCAGCAAGAACAGGAAGAGAGGACTCTGGAGGAGACGGCAACGGGACACGCAGAGGAGCAGTATAAGGACGCAGTGCCATCTGGTGTGTGCCTGGGACCGCAGGAGGACGCGGACGCGGAGCACGACCACTAGTGCGAGCAGCACGAACAGGCGACGCAAGACGAGACGCAGGCTCACGACGCTCAGCAAGACCTCCAATAGGACCAGTGTAGGGAGAAGGAGCAGGCAGGGGGGAGGCGGGCTGTAACTGTGACCGCGACTGGACAGGCTGTGGACACTCTAAGGGAGGAGCAGGACTAGTAGAGGGCGGGAGACCAAGAACCTGCTCAAGGAGCGGAACGAAGTACGGCCGCGGCCGCGCAGCGCCTCCAGAACCAGCAGGGACAGCACCAGTACCCCCAGCGGCAGCACCAGCGCCAGCAGCACCTCCAGCTCCAACAGCGCCAACTCCAGCACCCTCAGAAGCACCAGCGCCAGCAGAACCACCAGCGGCAACACCCTCAGCAGCTCCAGCTCCAGGAGCTCCAGTAGCACCAACTCCAGCAGGACCGTCAGCTCCAGTACCGCCAGCAGCGCCAGCAGTACCTCCAGCAGGGCTAACCCCAGCAGCCCCAGCAGCACCCCCAGTCCCAGCAGCACCAGTATCGCCAGTACGAGCACCTCCAGGACAAGCAGCAACAGTAGTACCTCCAGCTCCAGCAGCACGGCTCCAGCGCCGGGCAAACCACTCGCGCAGCTCCTGCGGAGAGAGTAGCTCCCGCCTCGACGAAGCACCGCGAGAGGCCACACGAGCAGACCCAGCACCCCCAGGCTCCGCACCCCCAGGCTCAGCACCCCCAGGCTCAGCACCCCCAGACTCAGCACCCCCAGGCTCAGCACCCCCAGACTCAGCACCCCCACGCTCAGCACCCCCAGACTCAGCACCTCCAGACCCGGCACCCGCAGGCTCAGCACCTCTAGCAGCACCAGAGTCAACAGCTACCTCGACAGGCTCGACTGCATCTACCTGGGACACACCTGACGGGGGAGGACCCTGAGGGGGGAGGGGGTCTACCGGGGGAGGACCTGGCGCAAGGAAGAGCGGCGTCGAGGGGAGGGGCGCAGTGCGGTAGGGGAAGAGACCGTAGTAAGGCACCGACTCGTCAAAGGTGACGTCCTGGGAGGACAGAACACGGCGCGAGGTGGGGTGGTAAAACTGCCAACCAGGCGCGTCAGGGGGGAAGCCAAGGAAGACGCAGGGAACAGCACGGGGGGACAGCTTGTCCGCAGACAAGTCGCGGACAAACGCCCGAGATCCCCAGACCCGAAACGCAGACGCATCGCCAACCTTCCCCGTCCACCGCAAGGTGGGGGAGGTCTCTGGTAAGGAGACCCGGGGCTGAAGGTTGAGCTGATGCGCTGCGTACTGAACCGCAAACGGCCACAGAAAATGGGGTCAGCTGCATGGATCATGGACGTACGAGCGACGTCCATGACCATGCCAATGCGGCGCTCAGCAATCCCATTTTGCTGTGGAGAGGCCGGAAGCGTGAAGGTCTGGCGGATGCCCTGTGCACGACAGAAGGCTCCCAGACGGGCAGAGGAAAACTCCCCGCCTCTGTCAGAGTGCAGACGTAGAACAGGAAAGTCCGAGCCGAAACTCTCTCTGAGCTGGAGACGAGCTGCGCGGATCCAGTCGATCAACACCTCAGTGACCTCACCCTTGCTGCGCAAGGGGAACACCGTGGTGTAACGCGAGTAGTCGTCAACCACCAACAGGAAGTAACGCTCGTGACCCTGGCCACGGACGCGGGCGGGGCCCCACACGTCCATGTGAAGAGTCTGCAGCGGAGCCTCTGTCGGAGGAAACTCGGAGGAGTGAGGGGCGGCGCGCTGCCGCCCCTCGACGCAGGGAACGCAGGTAGGGGCAGGCCCCGGAGGTAGGGGAGGGAGGGACCGGGGGAGACCAGAGACAAGGACACGGGAGGCCATGCCTCGGAGACGAGGCAGGGAGGGGTGACCAAGGCGGTGGTGCCAAAGGAGAGTCTCGTGGGACAGGAGACGACACGAGCAGGGAGCAAACTCAGGACCAGACCTGGACGCTGCAGCAAACACCTGACTCGACGCAGCTACCTGACCAGACTCAGCAACCGGAGGAGACTCAGTAGTCAGTGTGTACAGGCTCGACCCCGGCCGACGGGTAAACGTGGCCAAGTGTCGGCCCGTCCGAGCACACGTGCAGTGGGTCACTCGCTGACTCGCAGGAGTGAACTGGTCAACCCCCTTATCCTGTAGATCAGCTCCACTCACCAAGTTCGTAGAGAACGAGGGGAGGTAGAGACCTGACAGGGTGCCAGAGGGGGCTGCCGGACACGGTAAGACAGTGGAGAAGCTAGCAAGGACAGGACCCCCAAAGAGACTGCAACCGGCCGACTAAGCGGCGTAAGCGTGGTGCGGTCTCGAAAGAAGGAGCGGGAAGCACCCGAGTCAAGGGTGAAGGTGTGTAAGGCCTGAGCCGACGTGGTACCTGAGAGGGCAGACTCACCAGCACCTGGGGCAGCAGACGCACTGGCACCTAGAGCAGCAGCCTCAATGCCCGGGTCAGGCGGAACACACAGGTAACAGTCACCCTCAACACTATCAGACACATCATACATGGCAGCAAGAATAG